ACCCATTAAAAAATAAGCCATCTTTAAAAAGTCAAATTTTAAGGTCTTTATTAGGCCAATAAATACATATGCAATTACTGAGGATGAAAATCAATAAAGAATCTAGTAAAAGGTCGACGTAAAAACACTGAAAAGGATTGCAACATTAGTATTCATCGTGAAATGGATATTCTGGATGCTTGGCAAACCTGCAATTAGAAGAAAATGGATAAATATTTTGGCAAGATTTAACACATCTCAATTAACGAATTAGAACATTACGCAGGAACGTGGAAAATACGCTGATTCATGCCTGTTTTGTTGAGTTTCTCCATCTCTTCTTTAGTCAACATGAAATCAAATACCTACAATGGGTAAATGGACTTGAAGAATTTCAAGAAAAGACCTTTACAATTACAAATCAGTAAAATAAATAGGTACTTCGAAATTCGATGCTATTCGATCTGGTGTGACACTCTTTGTAAGAACTACGATACCTCGTTGGAGGGCATGTCTAAGAAGAACTTGTCCGGGTGTTTTGTTGTGCTTTTGAGCGATTTCAACCACATTCGGTTGTTGCACCAGTGGTTGTGCTTGGCCCCTAAAACGCCGATGGAAAGAAACATTATTTTCAAAACGCCCAACATTTTTAAAAGACTTTAAGTCAAGAACTCACTTCATAAAGCCAGGAGACCCTAGGGGAGCATAGGCTTCGACGTGAATGTTCTTGGAATGACAAAATTCGATAAGTTTTTCATTCAGCCAATGAAGGTTTACTTCAACTTGATTAACTGCAGGAGCAATGCTGGATTGGGCAATAATTCTCTCAATTTGTCTTTTATTGAAATTTGAGACACCAATGGATTTTACGAGACCGGCAGTCACTAACTGCTCCATAGCTTTCCAGGTATCTTCAATTTTATGGTGCTCGTAGACCAGGGTGTTGGAATCCATAATATCAAAGGGAACGTCTTTCTTAAATTGGAAGGACATGGGCCAATGTATCAGATAAAGGTCAAGATACTGCACTCCAAGATTTTTAATCGACTGTTCACAAGATTTGCGTACATTTTCGGGAGCGTGCATGTCACACCATAACTAAAATAACAGAATTTAATGCATCAAAGCAATATTACCTTTGATGTTACGAATAAATCTTCACGTTTCAGGTTGTTCTTCTTCATTCCTGCAGCAATAGCCTGTCCAACCTCCACCTCATTATTGTAGAATATGGCACAGTCGATATGTCGGAACCCAGTATCAATTGCATATTCGACTGATTTAATAACGTCATCTTTTGGAGACTTTGAAAATAAAATATGCAGCATATTAAGTACTTACATCGAATGTTCCAAAAGCTATTTGAGGGATGTGGTACCCACTATTGAGTTTCAAAGAAGGGACAAGACTCATCCTTCGATTAGTGCTAATTAAAAAGTGGTTTGTTACAGGTGAGAGCTTAAACAAAAGGTCATTTGTTCAAAGTTTTTAAAAAAAATTGAAACCAATTTTTCATACAGAAAGACAATAAGATTGCTGTTCATTCGTCGGTTTTTAATTTTTTACTAACCACAGAGTTTGTGGTTTGGTTTTTGATATTCGGTCATAAACCTCGTGCGTTTTTAATATGACATTGTAAATTATTGTTCATTGATCGCGTTTATAATTTGAATTATAAAAGCAACATGCTTCAAAAATTTAAGTTGTAGAATAAACCACTAGATTGTCTCTTGTAAAATTTTCTCTTTGCTCTGCATAAATGAATTTTATTCTTTCCGCAGTGTTTTGTGTATGGAAAGGCCATTGACTATCCTTTATTACCCAATATCGATTAATTTACAGCACTTTAAAGCTATCAATATTAAAACGTATATATCATTTAATAAAAATTTATGTTTATACAAAAGCGCTGTTGAAACTTCATTCATTTATTAATTTCAAATGTCAGGCTTTATGATATTTATCATTAGCCCTTAAACTTTGACTTCAGCTTCCCCCAAGGGAGGGGAGGGGGTACATATATAGCAGTTAATTAATAGTAGTTCATTAGCTGTCTTCTTGCTTCCCAGTATCTCTTTCTTTCCGTCGTTGTCTTTAGGGCTAGACACCGAATCAGGTGGGTCCTCTCCATTTCCTCCTGTAGCTTACATAGGGGGGATGTGGGTTGAGTCTACACACCCAATCTCTGAAGGTGTTTTGCCAAGCAATCGTGTCCGGCTATCTGTGAAGGTGTTTTGTCAAGCAATCGTGTCCGGTACGAATCTGTGCAGAGGGCATGTGGGTTGAGTGTATACTCCCAGTCTGTGAAGGGCATGTGGGTTGAGTGTATACTCCCAATCTGTGAAGGTCCATGTGGGTTGAGTGTATACTCCCAATCTGTGAAGGTGTACATGTGAGTTGAGTGTATACTCCCAATCTGTGAAGGTGTTTTGATAGGCAATCGTGTTCGGTACGTAGTCT